AAAAGGTGATACCTATACGGTAACTTCACCTAAAAGCTGCGATTAGACCCAGCTACAATGAGAGCATTTATTCAGGATGTAATGACGAAATACTTATTCACAGCATGTGATATTCGTGACAAAACATTTCAATGATTGTGAAAATCTACCGAAAAATCGAGAAATTTTATTTTGCTCAAAGATCACAATCGTTGACAAAATATTACAATTAAACCATATGAAACAGTATTTAGCGGACTCAGATGAAAGTCTCATAATTGTCGCTAGTTCGGATTTGGGGGTAGGGTGAGCTGTTGGTGAGATTCATCTACTTAGGTTCAATAAAATTACTTATCAGCACTCAAACAGCTTTGAAAACAGTGGAGCAAACGTTCGAAGGTAAACGTAACAATGCACGTAATGTAAAATATTCCATGAATCTGGGTCGATCAATAAAAAAGAGGGTTTTCTAAGGTACCGTATCTGAAAAACGTCTAAGGTACAGGACTCTCTAGCGACTCATCTACTGCAAGAAGATCTTATCTGAGATTCTGAGAGAAAGAGAGAATGAAAAGATACGAAGGGACAACTCGCTCAAATCGAGCACAGAGATGAATTATTTACAATTCAGATTTTAAAGTCCCGTGGTCGTGTGATACAGTAACCTAAGGTGTGCAATCGAGTTACCGTATAACATAAAGGGTCAATCCAAGGGCTATGCCAGGTTGCGCTCTTATCAGGAAGTAATAGTAGCTTTTCCGTAAGAAACGAGACCGGTGATACAAGAGTGTTTGATGTGCTCTTATATGTTATCAATACCTTTTCCAGATTATTTTGAATGAGGCTCGATGAGAGTGATTTCCAATTATTCACAAAAATAGTAGAAGCGAGGACAAGTGGATATGAATGACCGCAGTGATTTACGTCTGATATACTTTTGTGGGCACAGAGAGAGTAGAAAGTTCAAAAAGCCAGTCACTATTAAATATTTTGGTGTGACTAATCAGAAGTATTCGAATTACTTAATTTCTCATGTAGTAAGATTGCTTTTGAGAAAAGGAGTTTTCAATTGACTGAGATCTCAGAGCATAGACAAAATGAGTTATCCGTAAGAGTATCCGATCCGAAAAGGATGTCAAAGGTGTATCTGGGCGATCTTCTTCGTACACACATCCATACGTGAATCAACATTGAGTGATGATTTCCGAAAAGACGAGGAAGACCGTCTAAAAAGGAACATTTAAGTTCAATACTAATCAAATCATTTGACAAAATTGAGAGCTTATTTGTCCCAAGTTGCCTCCTGACCTAGAATACCAAGGGAAGACCTATTTAAGTTAATGAATTCCTTCTCGTCAGAAAGATATTTATGCCAGTTGAGGAGGGAATGTTGATAAAATATTAAATTCGAAAAAAAATTATGTATGCTCATTAATAAAATAGTGATAATTTCATGAACATTTGTACCTTTCGATGTTTTCAAAGTATTGCGTATGTGCATTGAATGAGTGTTTCCGTCTAAACTGACGTAATTGTGTCTCAAAACCATCTCGGAACAAATCCACAAAAGCGCAGATCAGGATACGCCATGCACGGCTGAAAAATATCAATGATCAATGAAACAGTTTTGATTATAACAAATTTAATTTAGTATCCCTAAGAAAATACAACACGAGTTCTCAGCTGACCTGGCTTCTTTGCTCTGTCGAACTCCATCCTGTTTAAGAATGACTTCAACGAAAATTTCTTGGAATCTGTCAAGTTCTACGGTGCTAAGACCGTATTCCTGCTTGAGGGCAAAATGTCGAGCGCCCATTTCGCGAATCTCTTCAAGATCCTGAAATCGAACGATTCAACATTGAATTTCGTGAGCCAGAACGAACTGTCTTGAAGGATCACATGTTGGCTGTTTGAGCTGATAATTCCAAATATTTTCAAAGTGAAGATTAGCTTTTAATTCCGAGAGAGAAAGGCAAATCAAGGAGAAGAAGCTTCTATGGCCTTGAAACTTCTCGGAAACACAATGTCCGATTTTCAGTTCCCATCAAAAGAATGATGCGGTCAACGTCAACGATTCATCTAAGAGGCGCCATATGTCTGTGTTCTAATTGAGGTTTTGAACCCAGCTGGAAGTATCCTTGTCGTATACACTGACCCATGAGATTTCCCAATCTCAGAGTGTGCTTGGTTTTATTGAGTTTGCTGTATGCATTCGCTTTGCACTCGATTTCGATTCAGAACAGGAGG